TCACCTTAGCAGAAAGCCAAGTTATAATATTCAACAGCTGGTATAGAGTTCAGCATTTTAATTCTTTTCAAAATCAGCATCATTTTCTTTCTGTTATTATTAAGTAGATATGAAGATGATTTATTTAGATACATCTATGACTGAAGCTCCTCATGCATTTACCATAAAGAGTTAAACCCAGTCAGAAGTAAATGTTGAACTGCCCTCCCAATTCAGAAGAGAGAATTTAGGGTTACATTAGTTTATCTGTTGCCCCCCAAACAAATTTAGTTACCATAACTATTCTCTATAGTAAAAGGTAATTACATTAATGAACACCAAATTATTTTAGACATATTTCTTCACTCTTTATACGTTGCCTTATAATGACTACACTACAATGAAACTCTCTGAAGCATTAAAATCAAAGATACTAATGAACTATTAGCTGTACTTGAGTGTCATAGAAGACAAGCAAATACTACCCAGAGGAGCCCTAAGGCATGTTCTGTACCCTATATTTTTTACTTTACTCCTTCCTTCTTCGTGAATTTTTCAGTTACGATCATGCACTCTACAGCTGTCATTTCCCATAGCACTTGCCTTACTTAGAGTCATACTTTACCCTCCCATTCAGAAATGAAAAGTAAGCGTTCACTATGCACTATACCCAATATAACGGCAAGGTTCGTGAGCAGCAAAGAGGCAACAATTTCAATATGTGAACTACAAAATATCCACCGGGAAAGGATACTTCTTGGGTTACCCGGGCTTTCCTTTTCTTTCTGCATTACAGTTTTCTGATAAACGTCAGCTATATTCGCAACATCTTTCCAGATAAAAATATCATTTCTAGGGGCCAATGGCATTTTGCTGCAGTAAGGACAGTTACACAGAGTCAGGGTTGCCGAGTTCTCCTAATATTCCTAATCCTAGGAACTGCATCATCACTGCAGTTCCACTGCAGGACTACTACAAGATAAAAAAGCCAGGAATTAGGCATTGTGTTAAACTGTCATCCTTACCATACTTCTCCAATAGGAGGAAACTGCTACTTTTCCCCATACAGTAGATGGTCCCTCGAAGCAACTGAAACATTGTGGTGTTGTTTTATGCATAGCATGTATAGCTGCCTTCTGAATACCCAGACTTGTGCATACTATAAACACATAAAAGTCAACAGAAGGTTGGGAAAGTCTGTCAAAGAAGCTTAGCATCCAACTGAGACCAAAGCAATTTAAGCCCTTCTTCTTTATTAATGGTGACAGGTATAGCTGAAGTAAGACAGTGGTCAAGTTACCAAGCATACGATAAACATAAGACACTGAGCAACATTCTGTACTGCACATTTTAGATGCCATGGGTGGGGGGTGGGAGGGAGAAATGCCTTACAAAATTAATAAAGAAAAATCATGAGTAAGAAAATGTTCATATCAAGAAATTTATTCACTGAACACAGAAAGTCTCTATGTAAAGAGAACCATATTAAAGCAGAGATAAAAACTTAGTACAGATTTGGTTTATTTTACTGCTTGCAAAATCTGGTCGGGTTTAAAGTCCATCCCAGTACAAAAAAAAATTCAAACTTGAAGCTTCAAATGATATTGTCTCTAATAAATTGATAATGTCATATCTGTATTGTAGATTTATTTTCTTCCTACCCAACCAACATGCTGGCAACAAACAGTACCTTTTTCTTGTCCACAGGTTTCTGAGGCAGTTGTGTTCGATTCTAACTTAAGGAGGTGAAGAGTGAGCAGCACCAGTAGCTAAGTCACTAGGTATGTTTGTACTGGGACTTCCACACCACAACTCCTACTCCTGTTGGCACATTCTCTTTTTCATCAGCAAGGAGGGATTTCTGACCAATATTAGTGACATCATCTGTTAAACAAAAGAAAAGAGATTTAACCCAAATCAGATTTGATTAACAGCTTTGATGGTAGCAATGCAATGAAAAAAAATATTTACATAGGGTAACAAAATGCAGCAGAATAAGATATCATGTAAAATTACAAGTGTGGCATCATCTTCCTATTAAGAACATATATGCAGAGTCTAATTCATGGTCTTCTTTGCTAGATGGTCCTCAATGAAAGCAGGATGAAAGCTGCTAAGCTACTTGACAATTAGACCAGGTCAATCCAGACTGTTAACTCAGCATAGCTAACACTAAATTTGTATTCCATTTCAACACCAGTTATTTGTTGTGGGCTACAGGCTTAAATTGTCATGGTGGTCACCTATACATTGTCACATGCAGACTGATCATTGCCATGGATCATTATAAATACCAAAAATATACCAACATAAGGAAGTTCTCGTGTGTCCTGTTGAAAAGAGGACAAGACTGAATTTCAGAAAACCTGGATTCTGTTCTTCTGTGTCTAACTCTCCTGTACAGTGAAGGTATGACGACAATTTCCTCTTTGAAAAAAAATAATCAAAAGAGATGCACAAAGCCTTGATATTGTTTCACTTCACATTTCTTGATAATATTTCAACTTATTTTGATCACAAGGGGAAACAACAGAAGCATTCAAATTTTTGTTGCTATGCACTACGTTAGTTTGGATTGATATTTCCCATGCACAGAAAAATCTATTTACAGAAATAAAATTATCTTTATGGAGATATCTTCATGGAAAATAGCACTCTGAAAGCTTAATGACTAAAAGAAAGTCAAGTTCCTTAATGAGTATCATCTACCCCAGTTTTCCTAGAGTCTCTAAACACCTATGACAGCACCATTATTTATGCTGTGGAGTAGGGAAAACAGAGTAGAGTATCCTAAATAATAAATCTTCTCATGGTATGCCCTTTGCGTTAAAGCGTAAGTCAGTGATTGAGTAAAAGTGATTCAGACAAGGCAAACAAATTCCAACAATGTCTAGTGCAGACATGCCCATACCGGGGTCTCCAAAGCAGAGGGCTGGAAGACACGACACAGAACCGATCAAAGTCCCTGGCCTTTTGGGCAAGAGAGCTAGAAGCCAGGCAAGATAACACATCCGAACAGCACTGAAACATGACGGATATATCTATTACCATGTACACAGTTGAAGTCTTCACAAAAAGCTGTACTTCACACAAAATATGTCAGGCTTGCATCCAATGGTACCAGTCCCAAAAACGTAACTCCTAAATTACTTCCTTTGCTGGGAAGTATTGCACTCATTTCTAGTGGTTTGTTAAAGGTTACAGAGTCAATTCTGTTAGTGGCTTAAAAACTAAATCCTCGGGGAATAACTTACCAGCTTATTCATTCAATAAAGGCAGCCATCTAGGCAGTATTTAATGGAAACAAAAATCTGCATACTTATTTCCTTAGGGCCAAATTCTCTGCTGTGAGAGAATACTTTTGAAGAGGATGAAAGTACAGCTAGGGCCAGACCATGGCAGGAGATCAAAGTGCTAAAACAGCTTAGTCAGCATCTTTAAGTAGCACAGAAGGATGGAAAAGAGGAGTTCAATTTATTTATATAGTAACAAGCCTCTCAGGGAGAGAGGGAGGCCAAGAGCCTCTATTTTTTATGACATCAGATACGTCTGACTTTACCCTATCTTCATCATCCTTTTTGAGTTGCCCTGTTTGTAAATATTCCAATATCGTTATTCCACATAAAACAACATTTTGCTACTTTCATCTGGCCTTCAGGAAGCAATTTGAATACATATGAATAAAAGGAAAAGAGAAGGTTTTGCCACACTAACATGTAAATGCAGAAACGTCTAAGAGAAAGCAA